CTTCCCCCATTTCCCCCCCACTTTACTTTCATTCAGTAAACTGAACATCCCTGTTTTTTAAGAAAGTAATAGGCACTTCAGCTAGCATGATGTTGCTGCCATGCCACACCTGTTTGGGGAAGGGAATATATGGTTTCCAGTGTTCTATTCTGTAAACAAAATCTTTCCAGTTTATTTATTTATTAGCTAGAAATTTGAGCAACTACCATGATAGGCTTCCCTCTTTAAGAAAGAAGGCTCTTAAGTGCTAGGTTAGGTCAGCCATGCCTTTTTCTAGCTGAATCTTGAAAATTTTTGAGGGTGGAGATTCCACCACCTCTCTAGATAACAGTTCCAGTGATGTGCTTTCCTCTGAATGAAAAAATGTTTTTCTTGCTGTTTATTCTGAACCTCTCAAGCCAAAATTTGTTGCTCTTGTCTCTTAGTATATCCTACCAAGGAGAGTTTGGCTCTCTTGTCTGTGTAATTCCCTTTCAGATGGTTGGGGGCTGCTATTAGATATTCTCCTTTGCTTCTTCAGGCTTGAAGAGTCTAGCTCTTACAGCCTTTCATTCTAAGCTGTGTGCGCTATACCGTGTCCATCTTGGTAGCCCTCTGATGGACCCTCTTTGGTTTTTCAGCATCCCTCCCGAGCAGCCCATTCCAGAACTGGAAACATTCCAACATTTAGAAGACGGGGATGACTTCCTTTTTTCAAACATTTCTCATATGTGTCTTTGAGAAACAACCTTATGAGGCTCAGCTGTTGTACATCTTAAATACAAACTTAAATGGGGAACTTAAAAAAATAAAATAAATTACTTGGGAAATAGCTTGGATTTTATGATATGACAAAGTTCACTTTCAAAATGAGGTCAAAGTGGACATTTTTATCTTTTAAGAAGTAATTTGGAAGTGTATAGATTGAATAAGGCAGAGGCTTATGATGAAAGCCAATTCATAATGATCATTATTGCATTGCTACATCAAATGGCATCCTTTTTTAGAGAGGCTGTTTTAGTATCCCAATGCTTTACAAGAATGCCACTCAAACACTTTCTCTTTAATTGGGAGGGAAGAGGTTAATCTGTTTTTAAAACAATCTTCAAACCTGTTGCTGTTGCATGCAAAGAATGTAAGGTAAGCTTTTGTCTGGAGTCCAGTATTTAACAAGAATATTATTGTAGTTTTTAGATCTATGGGCATTGTACAATAAAACAGTTTATGTATCTGTTCTTAATCCAAGTCTGAAAGAATCTGTTAAAACAACAGGAGCAAGAAGATTTTTCAGATTTATACTGAATTAGTCAGAGATTTGATGATATACATTCAGGTCTTCCTTTTTTTGGTCAGGTTTTGAGCCTGTGGTGATAGAAAATGTATTAGAAGGCGATGAGCTACGGACAGACATCAAAGCAGTGGAGGCTAAAATCAAGGCTCTTGGTGCTGAAAATATTCTTTGTGTGCATTCTACAACATCTTGCTTTGCTCCAAGGGTACCTGATAGGTGAGTAGTCTTTCTAAGAAGTGTGTTGTTACTGTAAAAAAACCAACCAACCAACCAGCCAAACAAAACCTCCATGTTTTGAATGTCCATCTCCCTAAAATTGCGTAATTACTGCCAACAATTAGTAAAGATACTTTAATCCCCTTGCTTAAGGAAAAAGGCAGGTTGAAACAATGTTCCACTTCTAGAAAAGTATATTAAAAAAGTGAGAATAATGCAGAAGGTCTTCCATCTGTCATATAACTGAGGTTAATGATGATCTCTTGTGGTGAAATGAATGTCATTTTGGCATTGGTTTTCTTATAATTTCATGGAAGCAGTAAAAGTAGACTTTCATAGAAACATAATCCAGGAAATGTAGTTCCATAGCTCATGCCACACTGTAATATTACTGTTGCCTTTTCTAGTCTTCTCCTCTAGCCAACGATGAATTTTTCTATGCTGTTAATACAGTTTTTAAAAAAAAAAAGCTACAACTAAATTTAAAATCTTTGCTTGAGTTACTCTTTCCTGTATTATGCTGATATTTATAGAGATATATTAAGTTATACTGATATGAGGAAACTCTTGGAAGCATCTAGGGCAGATGTGCTATACGAGTATAACATATGATTTGCCCTGCTGTAACTTATCTTGGTTTGAACATTTGCTGCCTGATTGCATAAAGCTACTTCTTATAATTTCCAGCTGTTAAATCACCATTAAAAGCAGCTTAAAATACATTGCATTCTTTCCTAATATTATGTGTCCATATACATAACTTCCATAGTTGCTACAAAGATGTCATTCAAGCACTAGCTGAAGCTGAGATGAACATTACAGTTATGGATGGGAAATATCTGAGACATTATTTCAACGTGTAGCTTGGTTATGAAATATTTGAAAAACTTCTCATCTGAAAATGACATGTTGGAGTAGAGGTGGCTAAAGTATTTGGTATATTGAGTCATTTGCCCAAAATGAGCACCATTGTTACTCGCAAAACCTGCTTTCTCTATTTACTTAGGAAAATAAGTATCAAGAAGCAAATTCCTTAGGTTTTACAATTGAATAGGTATATTTTTATGGGCTTGTATGTAGTACACTGAAGTATGAGATATTAGTGAGATGTCTTTTTTTACATGGTTTTAAATGTAGTGTTTCAGTTGTTCCACTTTAATTGTTTTTAATTTATCACAACGTTGAAAAGACTTATGTTTAGAGTTCCTCTGCAGTTCATGCTTTTTCGTTAATTACTTTGTTATCTGGAAAATTTAGTTGAATATTTGCAAGTGTAGGAAAGAAACAACATTGACTCTGAAACATGGCAAGTAAAGATATGTTTTGCTCGGTTTTCCTACCTTTAAAAAAAAAAACAGTATTTATCATAGGTTAACCCACTTGCTAGAGGGAAGTTAAAACCATATAATTCTGTCAGAATACTATGAACATTGCTTGAAGTTGACTTGCAGATTTATTGGCTAACTTAAATCACAGCTATCAAAATTGAATGGTCTATTTTACAGCTTGGGTAAATGAATCTTTTCCTTATCTGCCTCCTCTTTTTGACATGCGATTGGTTTGTCCTCTGCAACTAAGAGATGAATTATTAGGTAATGGCACTGTGTTATGATATACCACAGATATAGGAGGATTTGAACGCACTTTCTATTTAAAGGATACTGTCAACTATTGAAAGCTATAACATTCATCTTCCTACAGGAAGGAAAATCCCATACAGCATTTCTGGAGGGTACCATTTTACATGTCTATTTTTAAATATCTTGCATTTGTAAGGCTTTGTTTAGTTGTGGTGGTGGTGTTTTAAGATTTTAAGTGGCTTTGGATTGTTAAAAGGTCAGGGTAGGAGTTTTATGCCTGTATACCTATAGCTTTCATTTGAAGTATTATTTAACTTTATGGGAATAATTCACTAGTGTATAAACCCCCTTCCTCGGAGAGACGTCAGTTCTCTGACAGTGTTTCACCTGCTGTTGCTGTGAGTTGTCTCTAAAACTACGGTATTGAAAAGAGAACTAAAGGAAAAAAACTGTCTTTTTCAGTTAGTTTACATACTTAGCAGAACTCTATCTTGTTACTTTCATTAATATTAGAAGAAAGAGCAAAGCTTTCTTTTTATGAACTTTCACAAACAGGAGAGAATGAAAGAGTAAATTGAAAAATATTTCTGTAAGTCCTATTTGTGACTTAAGAACTCGAGTAGTAACCAAACTTACATTAATGCTTTATTTTTCTGATATGACTAGCAGCACTTCTAATGCTTCATTTTAAGCCTTGGAAGCAGACAAGTTGTGTGCATAATTGTCTGCTTCCCTTGCATAATCACATATTCTTTTCAAACTTTAGCACTCTCAACCTGTGTGGTAAGATAGATCTAATTGTTTAATAGAATGTTTTTAGGAAAAGTAAAGAGACACTTCTGTTTTCAGTACTTGTAGAAGCTAGCTTATTGCTCCTTTAAGTCTCAGGAGGTGAGAAAGGCAAACATACATAGCAGTACACCCTCTATGTTTCCAGTTTGGTGAAATTCTCTACCTGCACTTGAAAAGAAGCCTGTAAGAGTGGAACTGTTTTCCGTTGAGTCTGTGGAAGGTGAGGAGTGAATCTGATTAAGATCAGCAGATCAGAAGGCAAAAACTTTGCACTGTGTAGTGTTATGTTTCCTGAAGTATTCTGCTAATGTTACATAGTTCAGGATTCAGGATGTTGATAAATGTGAAAAATTATTGGACATGCAGCTCCTGCCGAATATCTTGACTGTAGAAGATCAATACGTACGTTATACTACAGGTGTTTCCTAAACATTAAATACTTGTGATTTCTTTAGGGATAATACAGTGATGATGATGTTTTCCTAAGGATTGAGGTTTAGAAAATTTAATCTGAGGTTTGCAGCTGAATTTGCCATTACAAAATGACACTAGGCAATGTAATAGAAATAGAATGCAAAGGAATGTCACCTCTTGGAAAATGTTTTCATACTCTGTCACGTTTTATATGAATGTCAGTAAATCACAGTGAGAGGCTGTACCGGAGATAGAGTAAAATGCATTGAAGGTTTAGAGTTTTCTGATTTTTTTAAAATAATATTACCTTTATCATCACTTTAAATTATTACATCTTACCTTATTTTTTCAAATAGATTTCATTTCTGAAATATATTCACAAGTTTGGGGGAAATCAAGAGCTTTTTTAAAGAGTAGAGCATGATTGGAGTGCTTCAAAAAAGGGTACTAAGTACATGTATGTTTAAAATGCTGAAGGCCCTTACCCAAAATGACCTATGCACCCACATAAATCCTAGTTTGACTGAGAAATCAATCCAGGCTGAGCTCACTGTGATTTCAGGGATTTCTAAAGGCAAGTGAAGAGTTGTCTTTATTTCTGAGTAAACAGTTGAACAAAGTTTTAATTTATTGATTTCCACATTCAGACATTTTAGGACTCTCCATTCCTTTGAAGAGTATCTTTTCTGTTTATCAGTTAATCTGAAATATGTAAGTGAGATTTCAGCCAAAGGGTTGAGATATTAGTTCTCTGAAGTAAACAGAAGCATGTAAAGACTTACTGTTATATGATGCTTTTGATTCCCAAGACACATCTTGAAACTTCCATTAGGCCATTTTAAGGTTGAATATTAGAAGAAAAGGAAAACATGTGAATAGCTAAAGCTCTGTTAGTTATTATTATAGTATTATAAAAAAATGCTTATGTCTGAAGCAGAATTGTTTGGGATCTTTTTACTGTGTTCCAGACAAAACTTTCAGTGAAGCATGAAAAATTTTATCCCAGGTCAACAATTTTTAGTCTGTAAAAGCTAACAGAATTTTCTTCTTAACTTTTATAGCTTAAGGTGGCAAGTGCTACCTTGAGGTACTCATCAAAAAAGTTTCCTTTCTCATTCTGACTTCCTTGTAGGCCTTTCAGTCTTTTAATGGTCTGATTTGTAACATGAGTTACAGTTATCAATGCTTCTCTAAATTACAATTTTATGCTCATAGACTGGAAGAACTGGCTGTGATTTGTGCTAATTATGACATTCCCCATATTGTCAACAATGCATATGGAGTTCAATCTTCAAAATGTATGCATCTTATCCAGCAGGTAGGAGCTGTGTGTTTCAAATAATAATTTTTTAACAAGTATAGGTAAATGTCTGATAGTAGACAACGCTAGCAAATTTTATCAGATGTTTCACAGCTTTGAGACTAATCCCGTGCATGTCGATATTTGAACAATGTTCTGAGAAAGCAGAGCAGGGGAAATAGAGCTTAAAAATAATATGTTATTTCTATTATGTGGTTTTTATGTATTAAAGCCAAATTTATTTAGGTTTTGTTTATGTTCCAAGTGTCTTTCATAATGGGAAAAATGTCCTTAATAAGCTTTCTTAAAATATTTCATAAACTTATTAACTAAAAATAAAATAATGGATCATACTTGAATAGGGGTTAGGCCTTCAACAGAATGTGAGTTACAGATTTTCAATTGAAGGTACAAGATTCTACAGCAACACTTTATAGATGTTGCCACTGTTAAAACATTGTTGTCACAGGGAATGGCTGAGGAAACTGGGTTAAGTTCAGTGTTGTGTTCAAAAAAGTTTAATTTCTGTTCCTGTTTAGTTTGAAAAGGAGGTTGCTTTAATATCTAAGATCAGCCATGAAACTTAGAATTCTTGCATTTTTGCTCATTGCAGTGTACATGCACTGTTTCTTCAATATTTCTCTTTTCTCTCTGTTGCCCATATCAAAAGAATAGGGGGATGTTTTTTTAACAGGATCCCGGGGATCCTGAACTATCATGAATTTAAAATATGCTGATCATTTTTTTCTGATTAAGGAGACATTACATTATTAACTGGACACAGACAAACTTGATATATAATTATGACAGGAACATCATGTTGGCATTTCTAAATCTTGAGAGACTGAAGTAATTTTACAAAACTTGAAGTGATATGTGAAATAGAAAATATGCTTTATTTGTAACGTACTTGGTATGTATTTATTGTATTTAACTTGCACAAGTCAAGTGAAATTCTGACATGAAGGGGGCTGTGGAATTGCTGAGTTTTACTGCATGACGTATCTAATGATAACCTTTTCAGACTACAAAGCTACAAATAGAACTATTACTGTGTTGGTTTCTGTGTTTTTTCTTGGCTTCTTGATAGGTTGGTTGGGGGGTTTTTTTGTTTGTTTGTTCTTTGGTTATGCAAATGTATACATTTGAGCTCTGATTTGTTTTACATTTATTTACAAAGATCTATTTCCTGCGATAGAAAATGTACTGTCTATGAGGAAGTAGTTAATGAATACTTAGGAATATGTACATGCTGAGCACAGTGTGAACAGAACTTGCAAGAGTATCACAGGAAAGAGCTTTTGAGACCATTTCATTTGTCATGCTTTTCCTCTGGTGGTCTCCTGTCTATTAAATCAAATGATAGTTGCTGGCATTCATCTTCCCATCAAAAAACTGACAAATTTGGAGTGCTTTTTCCCACCTCCCATGCACTAAGCTATTAAAACATAGAAATAATAACTGGTTTAATTGGATCTGCTTTTTTCACTCTTTTTGACATAGCTATTAACTATTAGCTATTAGCTAATAGCTATAACTATTAACTCTTTTTCTATTTCTTGATTTTAATATATGTAGTACTTTAATATGTGTGTATTTGAATATACTTTAATATGTACGTTCTTTAATACAGTTTTCAGGTTCTGTTATCCTGCATACTTTTTAATTGTACAGTTCACAGTAGCATATTACTCAAGTTGAAGATGTACTGCAGAATCTACTTTTTTTTCCTTTAAGAATATCTGAGTGGCTAGGTATAAGGACATTTTGTTTTCTGGGAAGTGGGGAAATCTGCTATAGGAAGTTATCTGGATCTTGATTTTGCAAGCAGCCTTAGAAGGAGTGCTGTCACAGCCCACTTGTTTTAATGCAGATTTATACATGTATCAAAAAAAATCTTCTTTTCTAATGAAGCATTAGCTTGTAGCCCTTTACTGTGAGAATCTGTGAAATGTTTTGGGTTGTACAGTTTTAACTGTATTAGTTCCCATTAAATTCCAAGGGTTTTCTTTTTGGTTGTTGTTGAAAATAAGCTACACTTAGACTTGCAGGAATTAAAATCAATATCTTAAATCATAGCAGAATAGGAGTTTGTAAGGTACTATGTAAGCAGACAATGGTAATAACAGTGAGCAATGCTAAGAAAAGGTAGTACTATGATTTTTAATTTTTCATCACAAAGACAGTATCTGAGAGAGTTTCAGGAATTATATTTATTTCAGTTACATTGCTGTGTAGTTATGATGCTATCATGTGTTTCCTTTTTCCTAATGTATGCTGTGGATTTTTTTTTTGTTCCTTTTTGATAAAGGGTGCTCGAGTAGGCAGAATAGATGCTTTTGTTCAGAGCTTGGACAAAAATTTTATGGTTCCAGTAGGTGGTGCTATCATTGCTGGCTTCAATGAGTCCTTCATTCAGGAGATCAGCAAAATGTATCCAGGTAAGTAGTTCATGGACTGATTTCATCCATATGAAATAACTGTAGAAAACTTGATTATCACCTTTCTTTCACATAAAATTTATTTTTGCCAATTTAATCTGTATATTGTTTTTTTCAGGAAGAGCATCTGCATCTCCTTCTTTAGATGTCCTCATTACACTTCTGTCTCTAGGTGCCAGTGGCTACAAACAGTTACTGAAAGAGAGAAAGGTAAGCTTTTTGGCAAGCAGCACTTTCTTGAAGTCAGCTCTTAACAAAGTCTTGTTGCAAAACTGCTTTGTGTAGTAAATCCAGTTTCTGTCTAGAAAGCCACTGAATTTCTTCTGAGCTCACAGCTCTGGATCTGGAAAGGCAGTAGGACATAATTACTTCTTGGCCAAATGGTGCTCATGAGTAAGCATGATTTCCATGTTGTTTTCCAAACCAGAAAGCTAAACTGAGGTCCTGTGCTGTCTTGTACAGTATCCATATTTGTTCTAAAGTGTGACTAATACAGTAGAACTTTGCCCGCGAAAGCTTAATCTGAGAAGTACTGTGCTGTTTTATAATGGTCAAACTACTTCAAGGACTAAAGCATGAGATCGGACATTCAGAGATAACCCAGGGGGTCTCTGCTCTTCCATTGTTTGGCCCTATTGTGCCTTTGTGCTAGGATAGTGTTTAATTAAATGTTTGTGTACCACATTCTCTGGAGTATCACAGCTTCTGGTTAGGCCACAAAAAGAGAAAAATACTGTCACTTAAGGTATTCATCTAGATACAGAGCTAGGTTTCTTTTCTGCCTCTCACAAACTATATGTTGGGTATAACTGCGTTGCCCAAACATTCAGGTGGTCTAAGCTGGAATCTGTACATTTTGAGTTGTCCTTAATTCTGGACATAATACAGGCCTGATTTTGCTATCTTTATATATAAACACAGAGGATTTTTTTTTGTAGAGAGTTTTAAGTAAGGAAATGTTGTGAATTAAGTACTGATAAGTTAATCGTTTTAAATCATGCATGATCTCTTCCATTATTTTCTTTAGAAACTATGTTCCAGTTGTCTGACAGCTTGCTGATGCCTCTGATTACCTGGCAGGGCAATAGTGCTGGATGCTGTGACTTGTTTCTGGCTGCTTGTAGAGGCATCCAGAAATTGTGTACTGGAATTGAGATCCCATAGGAATAGCTAGCCTATAGAAAACCAAACCAGCTTAGTGCCCTTACAATGACTAAGAAGTGATCTGTGCAACTAAAGTGAAAACATTGTTTATGAAACACTGAAGGCAGTTACCACTTTTGCCACTATTGCAATACAGTTTCTAACATTTTGTTCTGGACTGTTGTATGTATCACCATGTATGGTTTGTGTCTTCATTAAAAGCAAATTGTACTTCCCCCCCCTCACTTTCAGCTTCAAAAGAATCTCAAGTGAATTTATCGTGTCTTCTGCAAAGCTGATTCTGATGTTAGATTTACATTGGTAGCAGATACATAATGGGCAGTATAAATATTCTCCCAAGTCATAAATAATAATTCTTTTGTAAATAAAATGTCTTAATTATGCCATTTTCTTGGAAGTAGAATTCTAAAGTGAATAAAGCATTATATTTTTACAACTTCAGATCTTTTTATTTCAAATGTGAGCATACTCTATAAACACAGCCTTATATATGGCATAAATATGTTTCTTTTATTGGATTTGCTGTAGAAATAGAAACCTTTTTTTGCTTAAATCTGTTTGTTCCTGAATTGTGAAAATGTAATAGTGATAGTTTATTGCCTGTGCTCTGTGAAAGCAGAGGCAGAGCTATTAGGCTCCCAGCAGGAGCTATTTATAGCTTGACATTGAGTACTCCTTTCTGTATTGGTGCAGCTACACCTACTCACACAAAAAGCCAGCTATAAAAAACTTCAAGTGTGTGTTTTTTTTTTTTTTCTTTCTCTTTTTACCTTATCCTTATTCGCATGGGTGTTACTTCAGGTTATTTGAGCTCAAACCAGAAAGACCAGAATATTACTGAGAAGAGATTAATCTCGCCCAACCAAAGAAAGAAATAGTGTGCCCAGTTTTTCTTTTATACAGATGAACTGTTTAATAGAGGAAGGGAACAGATTATATGAGGGAGAGGAGCATGTACATAGAGTGGGATTTTCTGACAAACTGGCAGTTGTGGAGTGTGCAATTGTCCAAGAGTATGAGATTATATGTTATGATATGAAGGAGTAAAATGGTGCAATGGATCTGAGGACAGAAGAGCAAGGGAGTAACACACACATGCTGTCCAAGTGTCTGAATAAAGGTGGCCATATATGAAAGCTTAATAAGGAATGTTCAACAGTCGTATTTAGCCTTGATGTTTCCAGAGAAAGGATGGAAGAAGACCACCAACAGTAATGTTTTCTCACTTGTTCTAAATTTTCAGTATTCCTTTTTATATGTTTATGTGGTGTTTAGAACAGTGGTTTTCTGATCTCAGTAGGGGATTCTAGGTCCTTTTAATTTCAGGTAATGACAGCTGATCCGTAGTCAAATTTGTTAATACCTTTGCTTTTAAAAAACTCATAATATTATGTAAAAGTTATGTTTTTGTAGTGACTCCTTTGATTTCCTCAGTACAGGTTATGTTGTGTCCCATATTCTGCATTGCCAGGTCTTAAAACTCTCTATTTTCATGTATGTATTTGTGTCTGAACCAGGCCACATGTAGCAAATATAGTGGTGTCATGGTTTAACCTGGCAGGCA